TGGAAAATGTGATGTGATATGAAATTCATGAGTCCTTTTCTTTACAGTTAATTTGTTTTTTTATTTGGTAAAGTGATATGCCATTCTTCATTTATTATTGAATACCACTGATCCATTTGTATCCTTCTTTTTGATACTGATTAAAGACATAATGTATAATAAAAAAATAGAAGATCTTAGACCTATTTACTCATTGACAAAGAAAAGACTACCATTAGATTACAGTATATTCATTGGTAAATTTGAGAGAGGCCAAAACTAAGTTTGTTTGTTTTTTTCCTTCCAGGTTTGATAAGGAGATATTGGCTTTTCCTGAAGTTTTAGACAAAGATCAGCATGAGTTGCTCCATGATATGCTGGTGCCCATTGAAAAGTTCTTTGAAGAGGAAGGTAAGACTCATTAGTGTTTGTTATTGTTTCTTTCTCCCTGCCTTTTACCTGGTTTCCTGTCTCTGTTGAAGACAAAAAGGGAAACAATAGTGTGACATGCTGGAAGAGCAAAATTATCACTGTAGCCATTTATTAATTATTTAGTCTGGAAGTGTTGAGAATAATTTGTTTTTATTATGTTGTATACAAATGTAGTTTGAACTTGTCTGAATCAATATATTATAGAATTTTAGCAATTGTTATACTTAGAGGCTAATGCTATGCTAATCTGAGGTACAATATGCTGCACATTTCAGTTGATGGCCCAAAGATTGACAAAGATGCAAAGATTCCTCAAGATACCCTGGATGGCCTAAAGAACCTGGGTCTGTATGGCCAGCAGATTCCTGTGGAGTATGGTGGCCTTGGCTTGGGTGCTACTGAGTATGCTAGAATTGCAGAGATCACAGCCTTAGATGGGTCCATTGCTGTTACTTTGGCTGCTCACCAAGCTATTGGACTGAAGGTTATGTGTATTCCATGGGAATATTTGCTAATTTTGAGATACAATTATTTGGATATATGGTGTAATGTATGTAGTTTCATAGGCATAAAGGATAGTAGAGTGCATAAGATGTAGAAAAAGATATATAATATATTTTACTAAATTTTCAGTATGATACTTCATTAATCATTATTAATTTATTTTTTAGTAAGAATGATATAATTTAGTTGCTGATTATTAAAAAAAAAGTTGAATTAACCCAACCACCACAGATTTCTGTCTTCTGTAATTTTTTTGTGAATTTTGTTACATACAGATGTATGATCAATTACATACACATGTGCTCAGCCAGCAGGGAGTCTGTCAGTAGGCTCTAGGGACTAGTTTTAATTTCCCCATTCCTTGAATTGGTGGGAAAATGTGTTTTTCATTTTGATACAGTTTTGATACAATATTGATGCTGTTATTGTTATTGATGTTATGATTATTTAATTGTTATTTAAATCTTGGTAACATTTAAGACAATGAAATAATACAAAAGACCATTTCCAAAAGACAAGGAAAAGGGTAAACAGGGGAGATAGGTAGGGCTAATAACTGACTCCTTGGTGACTAAGCACTTGTAGAGCCCTCTGTGTGTAAATACAATAAATAAACTTGTATTACAGTGGCCATGGCATGTATTGTTGCCATCCATATCAATTGGGTTAAGCAAGCAATTAATGCTGTTAACTATCTGCTTCAACACTAAAATTCTCAATTTTAGTTATTGAATAATAGAGTTTGTGATATAGTGTCAGGGGGATTTCACTGTGACTACTATTTTACAAAGTTTGGTTATTTTACCAAGACTAATTTATTCTTAACAGGGTATCCTTATTGCGGGAAATGAAGCCCAAAAGGAGAAGTACCTTCCTCGACTTGCCTGTGGAGAATGGACAGCAGCGTTTTGCCTGACTGAACCTAGTTCAGGCTCTGATGCTGCTTCCATTAGGACTCGAGCTACGCTGTCAGATGATGGCAAACATTGGTTGTTGAATGGCAGCAAGATCTGGATCTCAAATGGAGGATATGCAGATCTGATGACTGTTTTTGCAAAGACAGAGGTAGAAGTCATTGAAGTAGAGATACTAGATATGTAGCTTCTTTGCATATCAGTAGAAAGTAATGCAACAATAAAACTTTAGCAGATAAATAAAAGGGAGATGCTAAGAAATTAAGTAATGTTTTGTTAGTTTCTTACACATTTATTCATCAGAATGAAACCTCCAGACATATAAAGCATAATCACCACTTGGCATATGAAGTTAATGCTGTAGGATTCTTTCTGAAAGGTTGTTCAACCCAATGGAGAGAAGAAGGACAAGGTGACCGCCTTCATTGTTGAGAGGAACTTTGGAGGTATTGCAAGTGGGCCACCGGAGGATAAGATGGGCATCAGGGGTTCCAACACATGTGAGGTGAGTGGCTCCTCCTCCTTGATTTACTGTAATTATAGTTACATTGTTGTTAGCAAAACGTGGTTTATTGATATAGTTGTTTGTTTATTTATTTGTCTTCTCTTTCCTTTCCCTTTTTCAAGTAATTTCTTTTGTCTCTTCATCTATTACTTATATATTATTTTGTTATATGTTTTATATTGCAGTGTCAATCTTAAGTTGTATGATTGTATTTTGTTGAGAAATTTATTTGAGAAGACTGAGCATACTGTATATATTGAAATCTTTAGTAGTTGTCATCTTTCTGATTTTGAAAATAAGTGTCATTGTAATCTTTTATTTTTGTCTTTTTACTGTTTGATTTATTGTTATATGTTGGAGAATGATGTCAGTAGATTCTTCAGTGATTTCATACAAAATAGAATTGACCATTAAAGGAAATTTGCTAGAAGCTTTGATTAATTGTCCAGTTTTGTTACAACTAAATAATCAGTTTACAGCAAAACTTATTCTTTTAGTAAGTATAACTCTATCCACCATGAAACCAGCTCACAGTATGGTTAACACTTTCCATTCAAATAGAATGTAACACATAACATACTTCTCTTTGTTCCAGGTTTTCTTTGACAATACACCTGTTCCAATTGAGAATGTCCTGGGAGAAGTAGGAAGTGGCTTCAAGATAGCCATGAATATCCTAAACTCTGGCCGGTTTTCCATGGGAAGTTCTGGAGCTGGTAAGTGGACTTGGTCTGTGTACTTATTCATGTGAACATAATTTGCATAGAGAAAGCAGTAAAAGACAATTCCTGTGTAGATATCCCTTAGAGGGCTGTTCATTTACTTGCTGTTTACCTGACTGACTTATTATTTAAAAAGTGGTAGGAGAACTAATTTCCACCCTTAGTTTTTGCTTTTAGTATTTTGTTTCTGAAATTGATGCTAATATCCTTCTATTTTGCCAGGCATTCTCAAAAAAGTTATGAAGTGGGCACTTGAGCACAGCATGGAACGAAAGCAATTTGGTCGCCACCTCACTGACTTTGCCCTAATAAGGGAGAAATTTGCACGCATGTGTGTACATATTTATGCCATGGAATCAATGGCATACCTAACTGCAGGTGTCTTAGATGGGCAGGAGAATGCAGACTGTTCAGTTGAGGCTGCCATTGTTAAGGTAATGAAAATAGTGGTTTCAGTATTATGTTTTTTTTGTTGTTTTTTGTTATTTATCCCCAGTAGGTTGAGAAAATGTTTTCTTGTTATCAACTACTAATCTTACTTTTTTACTGTTATTGTATTTATTCATAATTATAATTATGACCATTTTCATCTTCATCAATTCTGCTGAATAAGAAGGTAATATTTTTGCCCAAATATATTTTTTATTGTTTGGTTAACTGGTTTATGTAGGGTTATGTGGATTGTGAGGAAAACTTACAAGTGGTTTAGCCTTGGCCCAGGAACTGTTGATTAAATGTTGATGGCAGGTTTGTGGTATCAGATTTTGGATGTAGTTTGATGATAAGGATAGATTATGGGTAGAAGTTAGGGTAGATAACTGCAACAGCTGATGACTTTCACTCTGTTAATGCATTCTTGTTATTATATATCATCATGATCTTTGGCATCACTATAATTAAGATTATTATTAATCCCTTTCTCCATCTATCAGATTTTCAGCTCAGAGGGTGCCTGGCACTGGGGATCTGAGTGCCTGCAGGTGTTGGGAGGTTTAGGTTACATGAAGACCTACCCCTTTGAGAGGTATCTTCGTGATGCGCGCATCCTGCTTATCTTTGAAGGAACAAATGAAATCCTGCGAATGTTTGTTGGATTGAATGGTTAGTTCTTTAATATGGGTGTTATTTTTAATTTTATAAGGTTGTTCTTATTGTTATTTTTAATTTTATAAGGTTGTTCTTATTGTTAATCAAGTTATTGTTAGTATATTTTGTCTTTGCTTCTTTAAGTTTTAACCCGATGTCAGAAATACTTTGTTCATTTTTTTTTTTTTTTTTTTTATAATGTCTTAGCCACAAATGAGTTAATTAGTAGACCTTGTGACCTTACCTGATTTCACTGTTCTTGAATTTGCAATATAAATGTTTTTTTTATCAATGCCATCAATATTGATGGTGTTATTTTTATTATAGATATAATTACTATGATGTTATTGACGTAAGTAGTGGCTATATAAGAAAACAAAATATTTTTGAAAATCAAGGAAAAGAGTAAACAGGTGAGACAAGTAGTAGTTATAATTGGCTCTTTGGTGACATTGGAGCCATCTATGTGTAAAAACAATTAATAAAGTAAACTCAAAGTGGGCATTCCAGTACGTACATGCCATGCCTGTCGGTTTGTAGTTAAAGGAGTGTAAATTTAGGTTGGCGTTGCTTTTCTGTGTGGGCTTTGTTTCTCTCTTTATTTTCCCTTTCATAACTTAGGTTTGCACCTTCTAAATAAGAGGCAATTCTCATTCAGTCAGCTTATTTTTGCATGATTTGCATGTCTACCAGTTGTGCTGATCTCATATTTTAGGATTTAAACAGTGGTTATAGGTTTGTTATTTATTTATTTTTTTTCTACACTTGCAGGCATTCAGCATGCTGGTGCAGAATTGCGAGACACTGTGAAGAAACTGCGAAACCCTTTGATGAACCCATCCTTTGTGATTGGCAAAGGCCTAGAGAGGATGCGGCACCAGAAGGACAAGCCCAAACTGGACCTCGACTTGAGCGGCTCCCTGCACCCCTCACTCAGCGCTGGAGGAGAAGCCCTAGAGTACTGTGTCAAGCGCTTCCAGTATGCTGTGGAGACATCCCTTGCCAGGCATGGTAGGTTTGAATGACTGTGAGCTGTAATTTTTTTTTTTTTTTTCCATTTTATGCTTTAGTGGATGAGTTGTTTCCTGTGTTAATGTAATATCTGTTAACAATAAATATATTTGATTGTATCCATAAGCAGTTTCAATGAAGCTCTTTTATGCTTTATATTAATAACAAAGAATAATTATTCTAGGCAAGAACATCATTGACCCAGCAAACCAGAGGGAAGTGGCCCGCCTTGCTAACTGTGCAATTGACTTGTATGGCATGACTGCTGTGTTAAGCCGTGCATCAAGGTCCTATTCAATTGGGGTGAAAAATGCTGATCATGAGGTGAGTCCTGCTGTTTTTCCATTTTACTTGTTTATTTAAGTTTTGGAAAGTCAGAATCTGGTATAAGGTAATACACTGAAATGAGAATGTGTGATGCTCTGGGCAGAAAACATAGTGTTGACACCTAGTTGGAAAGTTGAAAGAGCATAAAATTAACCTTTAAAAAGGCTTACTTAGATTTCACATTTTCAGTTGATTCAAAATATCAGTGTCTGATAGAATATTACATATGAGTATGTCACTTATTTCAGGTTCAGCTTGCCATGACCTTCTGTGAAGAAGCATCAGCACGCATCAAAACCTATGTGAAGGAAATTGAAGATGGTCCATTCCTGAACAATGACTCTGTTTACTCCAAGATTGCTGACACCATTATCCAGAACAAAGGCTATGCAGCAGAGCATCCCCTAACACGAGTATTTTGGTAATGAACTAAATTTCACCAAGACAGGACCTATATTTGGAACACCAGTGCTCTTTGTGCCCCTCTATTTCTCTTTTTCTTCTTTTGATTCTTCTTGACTGTATATTTATCGTGAAACTAATGATGGTGCTTGTAATGTTCAAGTCATGCATGTCATAATGTGATAAAAGTTAACATGAAATTTTTGTATCTGGATTTCCTTTGGCCCATAATAGATTTTAATGTTGAATTATTGACTACTGATTTATTGTTTCCAATGTATGAAGCAAATACAATGTATATAAGTGTAAATATAGAGCGTGATTCATTCAGTAAACATTATTTAAGGAGTATTAAAATAAATACTACTAGAAGATATGTGTCTGAAAGGAAAGTTGTGCTTTGTATTTTTTCCCAATATTGCCAGTATCTCGTACAATGCAATAGCAATTGAACTAGATGTTTGTACTGAATATAGATATATTTTCTTGGATGTATATTGTTTGAAAGAAATAAAGTAAAATATAATATCAGAAGTTGCAGTTTGTATCCTCCATTTCTTTAACTTGAGATGAAAGTATACCTGTTCAAACACCCCATACAAGAAAACCATAAAGGTACATGGCACTGACGAAAATGAATCAGAAGACAGTGCAAAAACCTAAATGAGCAGTCATCAAATGGAACACGGGGAACTAGGATACACCAAAAGTCATTTAATTTTAAAAATAGGCAAAAACTTGTAAATACTGTTATAATACAGTATTATTGAATATGGTTATTTGATGAGGGGGGCCCGGCATGGTAAGATATAATGAATGCTTTACAACAAAAACAAATACACACATGAAATGAAAATCATCAATCAAGGCAAGATAGATGGTTATAGATTTTTAAAGGAGACAGAGAAAATTATTTTAAAAATGTAGAGCTGCAGTGATTAGTGGAAGCATGGCAAACAGAATTGATTATCTATTACCAGCAATATGGCTTTACGCTATGAAAAAGTACGACATATGCGATGTCTGCCTTGGTGCCCAGCCACAGCAGAAGCCTCCAGGCAACGATTGCAACTTCTTGAGCCTGGGTGAGGTGCGAACCGCCAACCGCTCAGGTGACAGGCCAGCACGCTACCGGAGGCCAGATCGAGGTGAAGGTGGGATTATATATATAGGTCAAGTGGTCGAAGTAATGGAACGGTGATGAAGATAAAAATGAAAGTGCAGCCAGTCTTGAGTGATTGTAGAAGAATAACTGGAGTGATTTGTGAGGGGGGGTATCTACAATAATGGAAGATAGAATATGCATAGAATTACACATTTCACAGTGGGGATTAGGAGTTTAGTCAAGGAATGTGCCCTAAATATTGTGTACCCTGACTACTGTATATTTGAATGGAATATCGAGATGCCTCCTTCATCTTATCCTTCATAAAAAGTCTCAGCAAGTCTCACCAAGCATTATCTCTCTGCGCAAGTAGACACCACCTAGATGCACACTAACAACGCCCTCTTCTTAGGAAGAAGCTACCCAGATTCGACCATTTTTTTCTCTATTGCAGACAATATCTTTGCTCCCGAAGTCCAAAGCTTCAACCAGAACTGACCATTTTCCGTTTCC